GACTCAGCGTCTCTGAGATGCTCTTTTTACCCAGTCATGTTACTGACCTGTTGCCAGTTAACTTAATTAGTTTTGAGGTGTTCCACCAGGTGTTTTTAGCATTACACAACTTTACCAGTCTTTTGTTGCCCCCTCCCAACTTTTTAAAAATGTTTTGCTGGTATCAAATTCAAAATGGGAATGTATCTTTCAAAAAAAACAATAAAATGTCTCTGTTCCAACATTTGATTTGTTGTCTTTGTACTAGTTTCATCTAAATATAGAATTTAAATGATTTACACATCATTGCATTCTGTTTTTAATTTACATTTTGCACAGCAATATATACTTTTTGGAAATGGGGTTGTAAAACTGAAAAAAGCAAAGAAAATTTGTTTGTGCATAATAGTAAAAACCTGTTAGTCATCCTAATGCTAGTCATTAATGTCCTGTCTTGCTGAGTGAATATGTGGTCAGTAAGAGTGTGTTTTTTGCTGCAGATGGTGGCATTATTGACAGAGGAGGTCAGTAGGAGTCATATGACAAAGTCTTCAGAAAGGTTTGTTGGCATTCACCTTAAAGTAGGGGAGAACAATCAAAAAGTGCTCAGCTTAAAGTAGCTAACAAGTAGTGGAAGCTTATACCTCAACAATTCTAACCCAATAAGCATCACACAAACAATATTTATGAGTCATCACACATTTGAATCATACTGTGTCAGGTTTTTAATTAATCTCAAATTACGTAAATAGAGTTACTTAGGTGGTTTTAATCACTATGACAAACTGTTATCTATAAAAATTTACAAAAGCACAAACAAAACAGTGTCATAAACTAGATAAGCAATTCTGTTTGAGATGATCCAACAGCAAGTGTAAAAAAAGCATAGCTGAAAACAGGAGTGTCAGCTGTCTTGAAGCCTGAATTTTGTTTGCCCTTTTGTTCATTTTTATAGATAACAGTAAGTCATACAGTGTCAGAAACCTTATAATTTATTAGAGATTATTTAACTCAGGCAGTTGTGGTTACTTAGATTATTTGGCAGTTTGCATCATGCTAATATGTGCTTATGACTTATAAGCTTCCATTACTTGTTAGCTATGTTAGCCTCATAAAACTAAAGAAGCACTAAAGGGACTTGGACACCAACTATATATTAACTGTTGCTTCATTTGGGGAAAGGAGAAAATTGTTTTTTTATTTTATGTCAAACTATTAATGCAAAATTCAATCATTGAGATATAAAAATGTCAAGCAGAGATTTGATGTGAAACTTCATTGTAGAGACACTTACAAACTCTAATTTGTTTGCAGTGGTAGTGATACAAACCAGGGGGTCGTAATGTCTACATCACAGGCACAACCATTTTATTCACTATCCAGAACAACCAGTGAAACTACACGCATCTTCTTTTATATGTAATGTTGGTGATGGTAAAATGGTGAATCCAAAAAAATATTTGCACACTCATTTGTCTTACTATGCCCTTACACCACCTCTCAGCCCTGCATGTTTTTTAGCTTGGATATGAAGTACCCTGCTGCAGAAATAAATGGATACATGGAGGATTTTTTTGGTTTAATAGCTGGGCAACAAAACTATGATCACTCAGTTTTTTATCGTTTTGTTAGTGATGCATGGTGCAGACTCTAGAAAAGTTGAGTTCTTGAATAAGTGGCATTGTGAATTGCCAAATATAGCAGCACATTTGATTTCAGTAGACCTGGTAGGACATTTGCACCGAAACTACTAATTTCCATCAGTCTGGCTGCCCCTGCACAACTGGCCTGTGCAGAAAAGTCCTCATTCTTTGCCATTGTCCAAAGCAAGTAGGCTAAAAGTATGTAAACATAAACTGGGAACTAAAGATTAAGCTACTCCTTGTAGTAGCTGTGTTGAATGGTGTAGCTATAGGCTAGTAACAACACAACAGCTAGTTATAGTTCGGAGGTTGGGCCTCCAAACCATGCGGTTGGAAACGAAACACAGAGAATAATAGTTCATACAAGTCAAACCCCTAATTCAGAATGATTGTAAAACAATGTAGGCAGTGTGTTCTTCAGTGTTTTGTGTAACATTAAAGTGTCTGTGTCTGGTCAAATATCACATACCTATAACTGTGACCCTGGCATGCTATTGCTTTTTATTACAGGTGCACTTGTGATGATATCCATGCAGTATCAGTAGCGTGTGTTCCTTTGGTCACATGTTCTAATGCAGCTCCTCTCATTGGTGCTCTGTTGAAGCGGCCTGTTTCCTGTGGCTGTTCTCATCTGAGTGAGGAGTTCATAGAGGCAGTTAGCACAGCCTGGCTCAGGTAAAGCTTGAGGCAGTCAGTCCATTACTTAACTATCTAACTTACTTGCTTGTAACATAGTAGTAGTGACAGGAACATTGTCTCTTATACAGTCTATAAACTGTTAAATGCCCAGGACCTATCGAGGGATCCAGACCTCTGGACCTCAGCCATCGTATTTTTGCATGGCATTTTTTTTTGTAGTTACTTAATAATATAATAAGCTTTAGGATGTAATGCACTTAGGACTTTAAGTTGTTAAATACAAGCAAAACACATGGTTTACATCCTATCTAATTTGCCCCTCTTTCTTTCTCTTGCAGAAGGAAGCTGGTATTTGAGGACATGGCTGTGGTGGCTCTGTGGTGTCATAGCTTGTCTAGTCTGGAGAGGGCAGTACTGAGTCTGCTGGAGTCTGTCCTCTCTGATCAAGGTTCAGTGATGCAAACTCTGGAGAAAGCGGTCACAGAATCTTTACTGGTGAGTGTATATACTCTATCACCGAAAAGTGCAAGAGGTAATCGAACTACTGCTGTACTATTTGGATTTGAACCTGTTGCCTTCAAATTGTGTTTTAAACCATTGTAAAGTCACCTACCTCTAGAAATATAGCAGCTGTCTTATTAACACCCTGTCAAACAGTGTCAGACTGACTTTACTTCGTTGATTTTCGGATTATGGAAAATGAACAAGTGTTCGTTCATGCTGGGTGCACTTGATGTGGTTATTTTTGATAGCAGCGGGCAAGTCATAATATTTACCTCAATTACTAATGTGTTTCCAGTCAAAATGTGAAAGGTGAGTAACTAAATGACTGGCTCATCAGTGAAGGAGTGCATTCTAGTTGCATTCTTTCCTTCCCTACCAAGATTTGGACATGATGGTCCGCTGACAACGTGTCAAATAGCTTACAGTTTACATGATGCACTGTCACTACTAGGCCACACATGCAGTACACGCTCCCAGCGTTGGAGCTGCTGCTGTCTCTGTATGGCGTTGTTATTTTTTTCTCTCTTGTGACCTTTACATTGATATTCAGAACAGGCAGAGCCAGAAAGAATGCATTTTAGATACAAAGATTGTTTATATCTTCTTCCATCTGACTCAATTAACGAACAGACTGGAATCATCCCCTCGTTTGTCTCCCTGGTAAACATGTCTTACTTCATCTGTGATCTTTTAAGAAAAGTCCTGCTCGTATGTGTGCTTGGACAGACTAATTTGCCAGTGCTCTGCTCTGAACAGCTTTTTTGCCTTTTGCGAACAATTTGTTTAAGTTGCAGTGAAAAATGAGGAAACAAGAAATTAATTTTGTGTCCCTGTTTCAGAACACACACACCCCTCCCTAGAGTTTAGACCTAATAACAATAAACAGCAACTCCCAGCATCCCCACTGCCAAAAACAGGATGTTTTGGCCATGCTGTAATTGACCCTCCCTGAAGTGTTGGGAGAAGGTATGGAAGGGGCACTAAAAGCCCATCTGGTTTCACTAGGGAGGAAAAGCTTCAGTCTTCAACCAAAAAAAGGCTCATGCCTCTTTATTCATCACTTTTGATCTCCCCTTTGCTGAGCTTAAGTAATAAAAGGAAGCTTTAATTAACAGCTTTGAAGTTTTTTAAAGCTGCTGGGCCACTTTAGTGGCTAATCTTAGATTTAAGATCACCAGGTGCTGATGCTATTTTTGTCATTCAGTTTAGGGCCAATACAGTATCATTCGTAGATCTCACCTACTGCATCTTTTATTGCAAGATTCACTAACTGCTAGAAGATGGACACATCTTTTACCACATCCTCTACAGAGAATACACTTAAATATGACATTTTGTGCAACATTTCATGTACAATTTCTACTTACTTGCTGAGTGTAACATATTGGGGGAAAAAAAATCCAATAAATCCCATCACTTTTCCACAGACCACTTTTTCAGTTTTTTTAAAATGTTAAATTTAGCAAATAAACAGTGATTGTGCATTAAACTGTGCAGAAGTGTGTTCTGTAGGGAATGTGCACTTATTTTTACTTACTGTAATTTGACCACAAGCGACTTTATATACATACAAATGAAGAATTTGAATTTTCCATCAAAATAAAATGATTAGACATTTTAGCGAATGTTGTGTGTGTAATGGGGAATGATTAGAGACATGCATGGTGATCTGTAAGCAGGAAAATGCCTTCCTTTTCTACAGTGATCAGTTCAAATAGGCTTCCTTTTACTTCTTGTTCAGATTCTAAATCCTGGTTTGAGCTGTGCGATCAAAGATTAAACTGTAATATTTACGTAGCAAAAAGTAAAATTTGTTTTATTTGATCATTATTGGTCATCGAACAGTTGGCACACATTATTGAAGCTCTAAAACTCAGTACATTGATAGCTAGCTCCCTGCAGATGGGCCTGGTTTTGTTGATGGGGTAGAATACACAACTTTGCTTTTTATACTAGAGAAGACACACTATAGAAAATACAAAGCCAACAACATGACTTGTACCAAACCTCAACTTTTTTTTTAACCACACTTCATTTAATTAATTTCCAGTCAAAACAGTACAAGTTATTCATTTTTTAGTACCAGGGAAGAGGAGCAGAAAGCACATTTAACAGAGCCTGATGCAGCCTCAACAACTACATATAGTACCATGTTTTTCAGTATTAATGTCTGCTTCTAACAATCTAAGTAATCTGAAATACATTCAGATGCTGAGGTCTTCCAAATATGATTGATTTAAGTACTGTTTATCTGATGGTGACAGTTTTGTGTTCTACCAGGTCTTGCCAGGTTTTCCTCAGTCTTTCCCCTTCTTTATGGCAGTAGATTATCTTATATCTGATCTCTTCAGAAATATCTCCTGAAAAATGTACATAATGTACATACCTTGTACATAATGGCCATTTTGACTGGCAGTTAAATAACTTAAGTGTGATCTGACTTTGGGACAGTACTGTTGGTTATGTTTGTGCTACATGCAAATTTGTACTATTACAAGCTAGATTTTTTCAGAATCAGATTGGATATGTTTATGTTTTTCCTTCTGATAGCATTTTCTGCTGGTATTGGCCCAAACCTGATACTGGGTATTAGATCAATGCCATCTCTAGTTCATACTGTTCTTTGGGGCAGATTCAACCACTTCTCTTGAGACTTATGTTCATGGTACAGTAGTGCAGTCTTTCTTGTAGATTCAGAGTTTTCCATGTTATGGCTGTAACATTTTTCTCACTCTGAGAGGATCAAATAGAGCGTCTGGTGTTTGTAGCTGAACTGCGTCTCTTTTTATTGGAGCAGCAAATTGGCGGCTCTTGGCAGGCGTAGAATAGCTGGGGTTACGGGAATATCTGGGATGCTTCGTGTTGGTTTTGGGGGATGAAGGGGTCTTGAGTGTGTGTGAGTGTGGAACATGATAGTGCCTCTAGGCAGGGTGGAGCAATCTTTCTAATGTAAAGGAAAGGATAACGAGGCTTCTCTCTGTTGCCTACTTGCATATACACACGCACATAATCGCTATTCAGCGCCTGCTCTCTAGATCAAAGACAGCGGGGGCACATATGGCCTTTTGTGGGGCACTGATGTTTTGGGTGTGTGTGAATCATTTTGTGTTGCTTTACTGCATTCTTTGCCCATATGACTGATGTGAAAATTGCAGTATATTAATTAAGCCTGTTTCCCCATAAATATATGAGCAAAGCAGTATCAAGCATGCATGTACAGTACAGCTGCTTGGGTATATACGGTCACCTTTAAACTTGAATTTGAAACAGATGATACGCTGCACAATAGAGCTATGTGTTTAAAAGGTCTAAAAAAACCTGGCTGCTAATCTAACAACAGCAGTTCTTGTGAGAATATCATTGAATGGAATTCAACAGCTTGTAGTCCTCATTGCTGTCTCAACATTGCCCTCTAGTGATGAACATAGACACATGCTGGAGACGTTGATTCTTACGCACCTCAATGTGTTTTTTCCTTTCAGCCCAAAGCATCAGCCCTGCATTGCCACATCTTTCTTATAGTGAATGATGTTTTCAGGTAGGTGGTCATTTAAACCAGGGTATGCTCTTTGACCCTTTCAGTAACTTACATAAACGGCTGTTTAATTACAGATGTAAATCCTTAGCACTGATACACCATGTTTAGTTGAGCAGTGTAAGACACATGTATAATACTGTGCAACAGTCAGAGACCTCCTTTTCATTTATTTCATTACGGGATAAATATTTAACAGAAAATGACACCAAAGCCTCCAACAACTAAATGTAATATTAAATCTTTCTGCATTTAATTTGTCCACTCTTTACCTTCACCCTACTGCCTCTTTAACTCCTCCAATCTTAATACCAGTGAGTCACAGCTGTGTCCTCCCAACAAAAAATGTTCCCATTCCTGAGATAAACCAGTTGTGCAAGGAAGGTGAAAGTCAAAGGAAAGTTAGAGGCTAAAACAATGGAGTTGAAAATATTGTTAAAAATATAGGGAAAATGAGACTCTTAACAACGTGGTAGACCACCAAAACTGTCACCTTCAGATAAACAGCACCTAAAGCTTTCATCTTTGAGAAATCAAGCTCCACTCTTGCTTCAGATATGCAAGAATCCATAGGTCTTTCTGTCGATCCTTCTGCTGTGACAGCTCAACACTGAGCGCTGCGTCTGAAAGGATGTGTACCTGTCAAGAAGCTGTTACTGAGAAACAGAAATTGACAAAAAAAAAGGAGGAAATTTGCAGAACACCAAATTTGATATGTGGAGTAAGGTTTAATGGACTGATGAGTCTAAATTTGTAATTGGAAAATGTGTATCATAAGAAGCATAAAGTGCAACCAACTTATAAGACTGAACTGGCTGAAAAAATGAAAGCTGTAGTAAAGGCTTTTTAAATACTGAAAAAAATTGGCAACGTATTTAGTTGTTTAGGCTTCTGTGTAGTTTTCTGGTAAATGTTTTCTTCTTGTGTGTTTTAATCCTGGTGCTAAAAAAATGAATAACTTGTACTTAATGGCTGTCTTGACTGTTGTACAACTTAGACAGTACTGTTTGTGTCTTGATTTTTTGTGTGTTTGTGTGTTTGTACATGCAGGAATGTGTTGATGGCAATAGAGGAAAATCTGGCTGTGAGAGCACTCATAAAGGTTTTCACTGGCTGCTTTCTCAAGAGCCGCACTGCCCAGAAGCCACAGGTATGAGCTGCTTTCATCATTTCATGTTTCAGTGCTGGGGATTTCTCAAGATTTTATGAGGGCTTTGTATAATAATACAGTGTAAAATAATGTCAAATTAAGGTTTTCACTCCAGTTTTCATATTTCCCTGTTCTTATTGGCAAAAGTATAATAATGATGGTAGATCTGAGAGATAACAGATCACCTAATTATAGATCATTGTGTGAAGGCACACATTTGGTCTCTCCGGCAAGACACCTCATTGTTTATTAGTGGTAAAGGATCATCAATGTTATGGGCTAATTTATGTCTAATATATTTGTTTTGATCTGTGTGCTTGTGTTGGACTGATTTTCAGGAAAGCCTGCCACTGAGAGCCTTTTTTCCTCATGCACCCCATAACCTCCTCACACCTTTATTAACAGCACCATCAGGTACAGTATAACTTTTGTAATTTGGAAAGTCTGTAATCTTCAGCTGACAACTTTTAAACCCCCAGGGAACCTAAATCAGTGTTTTTCTTTCTAAGTAGGTTAATCTTGTGCTTGTAGGCATACAAGATACATGATATGCATGTACAGAGTATGTCCACACAATGCCCAATAAATGGCTTCAGCAACATTCTTCTCTTTATTCTCCTCTGTAAACTGGGTGGTCCTAATCTTAGGCAAGCAGTACCCTTGCCAGTCACAAGGCCGATATGGGTTGTCCGACAAAACTAACTGGGCTGCATTCAAAACGAGTTGAAGTAAATAAGATTCACCCTCATGACAAAATTCTGTAGTGTTATTACTGCTGCAAAATCAAGCATTTTAGCCTGTGATGATCATTAAAAAATGGCTACAAGATTCTCATGGGACTAACGTTTTCTGACCTATTGTGTTGTAGTCTGCATGGTCCCTCTTTGTTCCATCCGAACACTATCTTCATCCCAAAGTTTAAAAAAAAGAAGCAGGGCCGCATTCTGAGCCTGAGGTTTCGCCACCCGGATCTTTAGAGTTTTCTACCTTATCTTGCACCCACTCCACTCCTTCAGAGCAGCTCCAAACAAACACTGGCCCTTCCTGCAGTACCCACCCTACAGCACACATAGCTCAGCCCAGCCTGCAGATCCATATCTCTGACGGTGCTCCCTGCAGCCCCGCAGCTCAAGAGGATATCCTCACAAAGCCACTGTTTCTGCTCTCTCCCAGACCAGCAGCACCGTGACTGCAGGCGCTCTGTGTGCAGTTTTGTTCTGTATTTATTTGCTCCACTAAAGTATGATTGTTAAGGAATTGATTGACAGGAGGCCCAGAATTCTCTTTCTTTCTCTCCCGTGCTCTCCCTCTGAAAAGAGCTTTTAGAGTAAGTGAATTTGCTTGTTTACCGGATCCAGTGAGTGATAAGCCTGGCCTCTGGTGTACTCGAGTTAGCTTGGAGAAAAAGCCAATGTAAATGCCACAGTTAGCTTGGAAGGATTTTTGCATGTCAGGCTATCAGTGCTCACTAGGCACCAGCCATTTAGACATTTTTTCTCATTTCTTTCACAAGAAATCTTTACATAAAAGGAAGGAGAGAGGATTTGCTTAACAAGCCGTTAGTCACAGCCATCATGTCATTTCACTGCTGCCTCTTTGTGTTTCATAGAATGAGCTGATGCCTGAAATAGAGTGCACAGAAGTAGTTTTTAGAATGATTTAATTTGTTAATGTATTGTGGAAATTGTGCTTGACCATATTCAAAAGTACATCATTCTAGCTATTTACCAGACTCTTTACCTCTGATGTCAATCAGTGCTTTGAGACAAATTCAAATGCATACACAGTCAAAACTAGAGATCTCCAACCTGCCACATGCTGTCCTTCCAAAAGAGAACATTCAACAAGCCTGGCTGACAGTCAACCGAGCAAACTCATGCACTCAATGCATAGAAGACTTGAAGGTGTCATCCAAAAGAAGGGGATATGTAACAAAATACTGACCTAAAATAAAATACTAAATACTGACCTTCATATAGGAAGGAGAGGCTAATGTTTGTTCTGCTAGTGTTACTTTTACTTGCATTACCTAAGTTGGCAGTTAATTAGAGGGATCATTTTCAGTTTCATTTAGTAAACCTGGTTGTTATAGCTGGTCATTATAACTTTTCTGATGAATGTAAGACTGTCCCAAGACTGCTTTACTGCTTTTGAGTGTGTGTGTGTGTGTGTATATATATGTCCATAGAAGTGCCAAAGCAGGCGTGGTTGAAGCACCTGCACTGGATTGTGAAGTTGTTCCAGGAGATCCTGTGTGAGAGAAACGAGAGAGAAGAGGAGGTGAAGGAGGAGGAGAGTCTAAGGTAAGACATGTTACTCTACGCTGCTTTACCACACTTGATTTTCCTTTTTTTTTTTGTGGGAGTGAGGTTCCATGTGTCTGATCGGGGGCCTGTCTTATGCGCCCCTGTGGCCACTATTTTTTTTTTTTTTCTCCCCCAAGTGAAAATAAGTTAACGCATCCTCCACAGAGAACACACTTCTACACACTGCTGAATTTATTATACTGGAAAAAAAAATGTTATGGCACTTTTTATATTTTATGTTTCATGAAAGTATGTTAAAATCTGCAAATAACTAGAGATTGTTCAGTAAAATATGCAGAAAAATGTCATATATAAATCCCTGTAGAGGATGTGTCGACTTATTTTCAATTAGAAAATTAACAAGTGATGTAATTTGGACTGGGGATGTTCAAACCCTTGCATATAACGGTAGATACTAAGAATATAAAGCAGTTATTATTCCACTAACAACTGACTTGATGGCACTGGTGACAGTGTTGATTTTTTCACTTTTATAAGTGCTTTACTTTCTATGTGTTTACTTAGATGTCCTCTTTGTTCTTTGAAAAATAAGCTGCTTGACTCATGTTTCATGCGATTGGCTATTTGTTATAAATGCCAAGCTTTCGTGTGAAAGCGCATGAGGATTAATCACAATGAGTATCTAAACCTGTGTTAACAGAGAAAGTTAACTCTGTTTGCAGTTGTTAGCTTTCTGAACCTGAAACTTAAGAACCTTGATTTATGAGACAGGCTTTGCTGTGTTATAGCATTTGTTTGTTTGTTTGTTTACAACATGAAGTGCAAGCGCAAGATGCTGCGTGCCATTCTTTGGAAAGTATGCATGTTGGAACGTTCAGACTGTTCCAATAGGAAAAGAACTCAGTCACAGTACACAAATATTCACAATATGTAATGTATCATTTCCTTCAGTGCCGTGCTGCCATCTGTCTATGTTATATTGTGAAATTATGTCAGTTGCATACAATGCTAACCATATTAAAGATGAAGTGATACAAATATATTGCTCATTACCAGTTTTATTGCAGTGCAGTGATATATGGATTGCGTGGGAAAGATTTGCTGGTGGAGAAGTGATGTAACTCCTCAGTGAGCGTGTCAGCTGCTCGTGTGTTGTAGCTGCTGAATGGGGTAAAGGGGTCGAGGGTTGGAGGAATGGCGCGAAGGGCAGAAATATGAGCATTCTCATTCTCTGGAGACTCTCTAGCCTGAGCAGCTGTGTAATGTCTGGTTTCTCTCAAATCTCTCCATCTTTCACGTGTTCATCTCCCATGTGTTGTGTGTTGCAGGCAGAGCAGGGCTGTGTTTGAGGCTTGGTTCTTGCTAGTGCAATGTGGGCACTGGGTGGATGCAGCTGCTGAGCTGCTGGTCTCTGTAGGATCTGAGGAATCGGAGCCTCTTCTTTTCCTCTTGACGTTCTACAATCACCCTACCAACAGAGGGCACCAGAGGGCTCAGCAGACTGTAAGATATTCAGCAGTGCAAGTTCAAGGATCCATCCAAGCTTTAATAACCTTTATCTTGATTCTATACTAAACAATAATACCTCATTTACCTCATTTAATAATACATCGTTTGATTTAAAAAAAACGTGGTGATGATGCTTGCTAACATACATCAAATCGAAGAAACCAACAAATTGGATGCGCAATCAACCGAGAAAGAGCCAAATAATGGCTGCGGTGGTCGATCCCAGTAACAAACTCACCAAAAGACATCCACAATAGTTGGTATAATAAAACTCACCAATAATAAAACTTATCAAAAGACACTAACAATAGGTAAAGGGGAGCCCACACCTCTGAGTGCACTTGAATATAGTTAAGCTATGTCAAACTAAAGTGAAAATGCCAGTGATCATCAGGGCAAAAGAGTAAAAGTAATAGCAAACGATCTCCATAGGCCTATATAATGCCATGCTGGTACAATAAGTCAGATGATCTGGAAGCAAAAGAAATCTATGCCAGTCAATACTCAGAAAATTCAAATAATATAAATGCATGGTAATAACAACACAGTACATCATAGCAAGCCGCTGCCTTGTAGGCGCTGACGCTCAACTGAATATTTTCCTCCTGCGAGTAGCACCTCACTACCTCCCTTTCTGCTTTGTTTTGTACTGTGGGACAATAGTGTCCATGAACACCATACAGAGGACCAACTTGCTGATTTCAGATGTGCTGCAGTGCACTCAAATTTGGCACTCACGAATATACTACGTAGTATATACTCAAAAACATGTTAAAATCAGTATATTAGAATACAGCATTGCACACAACATTAACATATTACATTGGTTCCCAGACCTGGGGCCTGCTTCAGGAAGCATATTCAACTATATCCCTATTTGGATGGGATTAGTTTTACTTGGGGAGGTGAGGCGGTGCTAGTTTACCACAAGACGTCTGTAATGTTTATGACCAACTCAGACGGGATAACAAATCTTGGTATAAATGACAAAGTGTCATCCAGAAGGTTCTATAAATGCTGACAACCGTTTCTGAGACTGAGTATTCTCACTAAACATAACATTATAACGACTTTTTTCTTCTTTCTTTTTCTTCTCCCTTATTTTTCTCCTCTTTCTTGCTGTTGGTGGGGTTTAGGGGCCAGGGGAAGTGTTTGTGCAAACATATTAAAAAATCTATAAAAAACATTTGAATATTAATAATAATGACAGAGTGATCCATCCTCATTTGAATCTAGGGTTAGATCAAACTAAGCCTGAAGTGAACTGGATAGGCAAGATCCCCTGTTTCATTAGACAGGGCCTTGGTTCTTAGAGTAGCCTAACCTTTGGTGTACATTTTAGAGTTTTCCTGCTTTGACACACCCACTTTAGCTCAGGAGGGGCATGATAATTAGCTGATTAGCTGGATCAGGTGTGATGGGAGAAGGGACAATAGCAAAAGATAGTAGAAAGTAGAAAGTGCTCTAGGAGCCAGGTTGATAACCACTGCTATATTTAAACATAGCCAAGCCAAATGGAAAATGACTGATAACTAATTATATTCTTTATATTCTTCATCTTAGACTGTGGCAAGAGAGGCTTGGAGTCATTTGAGGATCCTCTTCTCCACTTATACTGCTCCTTCTGAGCAACTGTCTCCTGTGAATGAGCTCCTCTCCTCCACTGTTTCAACAAACCTCATGCTCCTTCTTCTGCTTAACTTTGCCATCTTTTCTCAAGCATCTATCAGCAGTGTCAGTGAAGTCATACAGAAGGTAAGATTCTGCCTACAGTACATTTGGTGGAGTTAGGTGTGAGAATTCACAACTATTCTAAGTGCCAGGTGTTGAGGGAAGGATGCAGTAATTATGGATATACATATTTTCCATTGCCAAATGTAGAAACTGACACTAGAGCTATCTGGATTTGCATTACAGAGAAATATATCATTTATTTGTAGAGGGTTACAATGAATAAAATGCAGATATTTGAGCACAGTAGTAACTGGCGTCATCTAGGCATTCTACTCATCCAAAGGAAAGTAAAATACGTCATCAGATATTGGTCTGAACTTTCATTTAATTCTGAACGTCTACTCAATGTCAATCATTTTCTTAAGCAATTATCTGCCAGTGCCAATATGATTCTGATGTCATCAAGGATCCTTTCAAAGCAGTATTATATTGCAGTTAAATGGTGATATGTCTTATAGTGTATTAAATTGCATTGGTGATTGACCTGCATTATTTTGATCAAAGTTAATTAATGTTTGCTGGATTCATTAAAAAACCGACCGAAGCTCATCTGGGACTGTAACTGGTCAGCATGCTCACAGCAAATAGTAAAAAACCAGCATTGTACTTGATTAGAGGGCTCGTTTGCATATTGCAGCCTGTCAGTATTACAAAAGCTGTTATTGCAGTAATAACAGATGACATATTGTGCATTGTCCCTTAGTCATTAGCAGTATATTTGGGAGATGTATTGTTTAACACTGTGAACTGTGTAAACCACACTAGAGCAAAACTAGGCAGAGGCCAGTGAAGCTGTCATCAGCACCCGCTCCTCATTTTTACTGTATAGGAGTTTCAGGGCTATGTAGAGAGCAACATGCCACAGTGTGCTCCCAGCTTTTTACAGCCACATGTGAAATTGAGACTGGTTCAGTTCTATCCCAACACGGAACAAAGTTTACAACCTCCAGCTTTTTCCCACTGCATGTGGCTCCCTCTGATCCAGGGATGTGACAGTGGCTGTTGCTTTAGGTTTTTCTAAATTGCCTGTAAAATGTTGCAGCTCATTGAGTACCATGCATAAATGAAAAGACTGGCATGCAGTAAGGGCCAGGTAGCCTTAAGCTGTCTTTGTGTGGGTGTGTGTGTGGCCTGATGATGCTGGCAGGTGCTGAATGAGGCTGGTATCAGGCGTAGAGCGGCGTGGATGCTGTCCTCCATGCAGCACAGACTAAACAGACCAGGCTCACTGGACGCCAGAGTTCACTGCAGGCTGAGGACGCTTCAGGACAGCATTGGGCCAGCCCACGCTCCAGGCTGCACATAAACACTCAAACGTGCCCAAACCCCAGCACTCGGTAAGCTGTTTATTAGGACAAGGATTCCTGGCATGGTTCAGTTCCACACTCAAAGACTGGCCTGCTGGAAATGACATTTATATGCTAAGCCCAGCTGCTGTTTTTATTTTCAAAGTAGTGGAACATATGGGGTGATATATCATGCCAAATAAAAGGAAAACGTGTATATATGGAAACCTGTGGTAAAGAACTCTGAATAGTAGACTTTTTTTTAACCACTCATTTATTTTTTTTATTATGCTCAAAATGTTCCAGTGTACAGATTATTCATATACAGTTCACCCAATTTATTGAATGCATATGAGTTGCTGTTATGCAAGTAGATACAGTTTCTGCCAGATAGATCATTTATGTGCATTGTAGGCATGCAGATTTTGCTCATCATTGGTTAGTGATTAATCGTTGACCCATCAAAATGTACAATGGTTAGTTCTGGTGCTGAAATCTGATTGGCTGGGCCCTGTTTTAAAGACATTAATGCATCAAGATATTAAGAAGTGTTTCTTGCGTGGGCTGTGGAACACAGTACTGATTGGTGGGGTCAGGCTTAAGCAGGTATATGCAGTAAATGGCCCCAAAACTTATATGTTTATGAGTACACAAACAAAAAACTTATAAGTTGCCAAAATGCTGAAAGTTCTGTATTCTAAAATTGTAATGTTATATTTTCTGCTCATTACTAGCCCCAGTTCAAAGGAACACAAATGCCGTTAGTAGGGCTAACTTTGTTTCAATGTCCTTCAGTCGCTCTCAAAGGCCACCGCTGTCCATCACGTCTTTCTCTATAATTTTACACACCCATGTGTGATTTCCTCACATCGCTGCGATCACACTTTCCGTCAGAGAACATGGAAAAAATAGTCTTAATGTTTGGGCATGTTTGCTTTCGATATAATGCATCGGTTTAGTTGTGCTCTCATCTTGAAAAGTGGTCCCAAACACCACTATTTTTAGCTTCATTTTTTTCAGAAGATCTGTCCAGAAGACCTATTTACCTGTTGTGCCCTCATGCATACAATTTTGAAACAGTCAACTTGAATGATGAACCCACCTATTCAAGTAGGAACTTTTGTTAATTGGAAATGAAATAAAATTTTTTGTTTTACCAATAGAGTTTGTTGAACAGTTGCTTATTTGTCAGTTAATTGGTTACTAATTTACATCCCTATTACATTCGTTGTTGAGTGTCAGAATTCATGTGGGTGGTCCTATGTCCTATTTGCACTATGCAGTATGCAGCACGACAGGACACCAGAATGACAATACTGCAAAAATATTGTATAAAATAACCGCAAGTTGTCATTCTAAAACAAGAGGGAGTATCAATATGTTTTTTTTCTTTCTTTTAAATCATCTGACTTCACTGGATGATAATACAAATAATAATAATCACATATTGGGCCAGTATGGACTCCATAGTTTTTGTGGCCTGGTTACACTAACATGGGAAATCATCCTGTGATAGGAGTCCAGCGATGACATTTCAGGCCATCAGCAGACAATTCAATGCAACACTGACTTCCATCTGTACAAAATAAATCACAAAAGGGCTTTGTGCACTGCTGACAGGCTTGATTGTGAATCTGTTTTTATAAAATACAGATATGCAAACTCAGAACCTCTTCCAGTGTAAGAAGTGTCCTTGAACATTGTCTAATAATATATTTCCTAACATACAGTCGTGCCTAAATCTAATTGATTTATCCAGGTATTTATGTCTCCATCATCAGTGCTCTCCCCCCGTCTGCCTCATTTTCCCAGCATGACCTCTTCCTCTTTCCTTTCATTCTATTCCAGCCTTTCTCTACCTCAGGCCCACTGCTCAGATTCAGAGTTTCAGATCCTGAGTTTCTTGTATGTTTCTATAATGATACCCAAGTCCAACTCAATGCAGTCAGTCTCCTGAGACAATTTAATTAACTTTATTTGTGTAGCACCTTGCATATGGGTTCCGTGATCGCTCAGTGTTTCACATAAAACACAATCAACATTAAAATTAAATAAAATAATGACAAAATAAGCAATCAAATTCAGCAAAATAAAAGACTTCACAATGTATATAATCAGAGCAGTAACACACAAGAATGGGAAAAGTCCTATAAAAAAAAGTGAAATGTAAAATGCTGCACAGCAGTTTAAAATACACTAACTTATATTTAGTGTTGCACTGTAAGTGCAGCTACATAACACATTGTTACAGCACCTTTACAGTTGTAATAAAAGCAACATACAAATATCACCCCCACCCCCACCCCCACCCCCAGAACATCCAAAGACAGCATGAAATACCAAAAACTGACCCCTTCGATGTGTCTGTAATGGTCATATCTGCAGGACAGTATTAGTGGTGCAGAGATACCATGTTTCGCATCAAAATAAAAGTCATCATGCCATGTTTTCAACACAAACAGCTTCCATTTATCTGATTCTGCTGTAGCTCAGACTAGGAGAAGGAGACTACACAGTTTTCTCCCCTCGAGCCCTGGAACAGTCTATGCTGTACTTTGTTACTTTACCAGCTGCTTTCAATAGAATGGATTATAAAGCATTAAGCTGCACCATTCGCATTTTTAAACTTTTTTAAACAAAAGTTGGTGGGGGAAAAATGCATACTTTGTCATGTTTCAAAATTGACTGATTTTCAAAAATGCCTTTAAACAAAGCGAAACTGTCTCCTTAGTCTCATGTGCATAAAGTACATTTCTTCTTTGAGACGAAAATAGATGTTAATAGTCGTGACTTCAAGTATCCGTGCGTTTGTGTGGATTCCCTGGAGTTGATTCCACACGTAAGACTGAAGAGGAGCCTGATCTTGGACCCTGCACAAGAGAGACAAGACAGGCGATGGATATGTGTGTCAACTAAATATAAATGAGAAGAGCATGAAGAATTTTCCTTTTACCCCAGATGTGATCATCAGCCTACACTTATTTGGTATCCTAAGTTTGCTGTAGTTTGCACTGGAGCTATGAGGTTAATTAGCTAACAAGCAATGAAAGCTAATAACCACCATTTAGTATTGGTTACCACACATGATGCAACTTGTGGTTTAGAAGAAAACTTTAGACCCACATAATTTCTTACATACTACACTTAGGGTAAGTGGGGATAACCAACACAGCATTTCAAAGTCTGTGCAGTGGAACAGTTTTGTGATGGAAGAAAACAGTAAGGAAGAAAATGAGCCACCGTATACCATGAATACATCAGCATGCTGGTAGCAGGGTGCTGCTCCCTGTGGCTGTGGGTTTGGGGGTCTGTGGACCAGACTCCTGTTCCTGCTGAACTGAGCCAGCGTTTCTGTAGTACTGTAATCAGCTCAGTAGGCACGGGAGGCCAGGTCCATCTGGCTCTCAGCTCTGTCCTAACACTGCCCCTGTGAGACGTGCACCCGGGCAATCAGCGCCAGGCTGCTGCAGCCTCAGCAGAGCCGTCGGACGGGCCTAATTCACTTCCACTGAAGGTGCTTAGCACTTCATTTCCCATGGAATATCACTTAATGATATTTTAAATACGGCCTGTGCAACTAATTCCATTTGTGCTAGCCTTTGATGGTAATGCATCTTTAAACAGTTTCTAAATATAGTCATTTATGGCCCTGCTTCTGCCCGACTTCATATTTAACTCCTACATCTGTCATGGCTTAGGAGACAGTGCGCTGGCAGAAAGGGCCGTTATCCGTCCACTAACTCGACGTGTTTCCTGTCTCCACTGCCGGCTTTCTCTATTTTAACCACCCAGGCTAAAAGTAGCCCTGTATTTTTTTTTTTAAAGGCCAGCAACGCAGATGTTTTCATCTGTCTGCGGCTGCACGTATCCGACTTTATAAACCACCTGTCTTGAGCGTTTCTCAGAATTCCAGCGGCGCTTCCTGTGCACACTGCCCCAGCAGCAAGACGGCGCAGAACTATTTAGCTTTTCACGTGGTGGAGGTAGTAAATCTTGCTGAGGAGTAGGAGGAAGAAAACGAAGAGGAGGAGGAGGAGGAGGAGGAAGACTCCTGGGCTCCAGCTTCTCACTCCATGGACACCATTAGCTCGGTCTGTTTCTCTTCAGCCCTCATGAGGGTCTTCTCAAGTGTCTCAAAGCTGCTTGTCATCTGTCCCGCCAAACACAGCCCTCACTTCATTTTACAGTTTGTTATATCCTACGCTCGGTGAATGGAACCACCCAATCAGCTCATCATGGAGGCGACTGCTTTAAACTGTACTGGAAATGTAAGAAGTTTCTTGTCACTGTAATAGCCCAGTGAAGCGAGTTCGCACTAGGGCCGTCACAGATACACAACCGGGGAAAAGAAAATAGAAAAAAGTTCTACGTAATGTAAAGATTCTATACCAGCTAATGATGCACTGTACATGTAAGCCAAGAACTATGCAGGAATCAAGGAGATGCAATGTTTTATTTCAACAGTGACAATATTTCAAATTCTTCTTCTGGCCTGTCTTACAGTAAGAAACAGTCTGTTCTATGCATAAAAGCTTCCTTTTTCTGAAAAAGTGTTCTGGAATTTATGAAAAACTGTGCATGGGTTGATATTGTTTAGTTAAAGTCCTTTTTTGCTTGGTGTTTTTCAAAAATTCAGATTACTCAGTCATCAAAATAATCAGTAGATTACTCAATTACTAATAATGACAGTCCTAAATTGCATAGTGATATATAGGAAACTTTTAAGTTGTAAAAGAAATTGAGATCAAGAAATTGAGAAGAGCGATGTCCAACGTAGGAACTGAGGGAATCAGGACAGTGAAATGGGAATGGTGTTAAAACTTCCACACTCCCTTTCTTGTGTCCCCTCCAGAGTAATTTCTCTCACACTCATGCTCCCTCTTAAATGGCAATGAGTCCTTCCTCACGTCAGAGGATTAATTATAAACACTTCACATCCTTCTCCACAGGACGAGAAAACAACCCTACTCTTTTGCTGTAACTCTCCCTCTGTTTCTCCGTTTTTAGTCATGCTCTCATCAAGTGCAGAACTTAGCCACTGTGAACAAAGAGCTCAATCACTGTTCACCAATCAGCTAAGCTCTGCACCTGGCCTGAGAGATTCTTCTCCACACTCTGTGTGTGTGTGTGCGCGCGCATGTGCGTGTTCATTCACCCACGTTGCTCATCCGCTGGAACAAAAAAAAATAAATACACTTTCCTCCTCTGCATTTTCTACTCTCCTTCCTCAAGCCCCTCTGCCTCCCCCGGACCGTCATGTCTTCTTTTATTTTTATTTCCCTGAGCCGCGCAGCGATGGTTCCTCCGGTTGCCATGGCAGCCGTCCGGGCGGTGGGTTGTGTGGTAATCCCTGGCAATGTGATTTTTATCTTAAGTCACAAATCAGCACGCCAGGAACCCACACAGCCCCCGAGATGAAAGGAGAAACCTGCAGGTCTGCGGATCCTCGCGCTCTCCTGCCATTGGCCACGCTCGGCTGAGCCGCGGCTATGTCCCTCATTAGCCCTGTCAGGAGGCACTGCAGAGGCCTCAGACTCCCCCAGGCCTTATAGGGGAGCAGAGAGAGAGAAACCCACCCACAGGCACAACACCCCTCACACACTGCAATTCCACCAGCCTTACTCAACTTCAGGCTCTAATGCTGATGGTAATCAGCAGGTAGGGTGTAAAGTAACAGCATGGGAGATATCCTCTGAGTTCCAACACACTAATTGAAGAATGTTAAGTTACGACGAGTTTGGTGAAATCAGTGAT